ACAACGGCTGTATATATGCCAATTCCATGACTTGAATGAAAAATACTTGCTATGTATATTTTGCATCAAGTTCTGCAAAATAATTATTCCAAGTCCTATGAGCACAGACAGCCAGGAACTCATAGTGGCATTATCTGGTAGAAGATATATATCTAGCAAAGTCCATATTCCTCGCCAAAAGCCAACAACACATGGCGTAACAATAAAAAAAGAGATAACAAGTTCGCAGCAATGCAGCGCAATCACATTTTCTGGAAGTTTGAATAGTGTACATTTCATTGTGACCCGATTGTGTCGTGGTTGGCTTCCCAGAGAGGGTTTCAGAAATGTTGTCTTGACTAGCTGCAGACTAAGACAATATATCGTGATTAGCCCAGAGATTGAGCCATGGATGACTTGCAGGCCTGGTGAACTATGTCGTGGTGACCACGGTCCGTACCACAGAATATGACCGCGGATAAACAGCTGGAGACCAATAATACAAAATAAAAGCTCGTAACAGCATAACAATGGGATAATAGTAATGTACACAATACATATGAACTAATCGCGCATGCGTGGCCGGGATACAATGCTACTTTCAATATGACTCTCAGCTGTCACCATGATGTATTATGTTTCTTATCACACAAACAGAGCTTTCCGCTGCCATATCCACACAGTTCAAACAAACATGTTAGAAAATAACAGTGAACAGCAAAAACAAAAAGGCTTTTAATTCCCCCAATTTCCTGTGGGGTTAGTAGGTCTATAGGTTGATGTACTCTGCGGAGACTGCTCTGATTATTAATCCGTGGGTGAAATGTGTTCATTGATAACAAAGAGCAGTTGTAGATTGACCGCTGTAATTATTAGATCTACAAATCACGATGTTAAAAATGACCCGTTACCACAATACGTTATTACAAGACTTATTTGACATTTAGCTAGCATTCCGTCAAGCATAGATACATATATGTAACAACCACGTTACCTTGACAACCATTGATCGATCTCTAACTTTTTACACGTAGCAGATGTGGTGCATTCGTACACATGTGCTTTATTGATAACACGTAAAATTTGTTCGTTGCTGGTCGATCCATGATATTATGTCGTTGAAAATAGTTTGTAGGTACCTAATTTTTTGGTTCGTTCTTAGAAGGTACATCGATTACGAGTAGTAGGTAAAGGGTGGTGAAATGCGCGTAGCATGTTGCAAAATATATAAATTGTGAGTGGTCAAATGAATTGTTCGAATAACGGATATCGAGTTACGAACACACCGAGTTGAAAAACGCACACATTTTAGAAACGTAACTCGTTGTCTGTAACTCGAACAGTTCAGCATCTCTGTCAAATGGGAATGGTGCGAGTATCGCAAATGTAGCAGATTTAAAAGGTCAAAAGTCACCACCGTGAGTGGTAAAATGTATAAAATTGCGAGTGGAGACACTTAATATAAATTACTAAAATGTAAGTGCTTTGATTCTATCGGCATTATAAAACAATGTTATCAGTCTTACGTTATTGCCACGTGTTTTGGAGTTGCGCGTGTTGTTATGTACGGCACATCTGTCTGCTATCAACAGTAGCGTTCACGCACAGGTCCTTGGCACGGACTAAAAAGTCAAATACCTTAGCCCGTGCTAAGAAACGTCCGTGAACTCTCCGGAGTCCGGATTAAATATGATTAATACCTGGTCTATATCCTTAGCACGGGCTAACGAAGTGAGCATGAACCCCGGGGGGCTACTTGCATAAAAGTGCAATACGGGTATGTGCCGCCCGGCTGGGGTGTCATTTTACGTTATTTTGTTTAGAATTGGGTGGTCATTTATCAATGGTTTGGTTTAGAAGTGTGTAGCATTTATTTACTTTTACACAGGTCCTTATATTCAAAGCCAAATACCGGAAAAGGCTGAATAAAGTGCATCGCCCGGATGCGCTCACAGGTTACGAGCTGGGTGTTATTGTTTTGTTTTTTTTTGCTGAAAACACTTGTGTTTAGAAGTGGGTATATAAATAGAAAAAAAAAATAGTTTAGAAGTGAGTATGGTTTACGAGAAGTGGGCTGCACACCCTTACCCACTTAATATGTGGAAGTAGCCCCCCCCCCCCGGGGGGGGGGGCATGAACGCTTAGCTCGGACTAAGCGCCCTAAACGCTAATGTAATATTCGATGTTCATTTACCGGTATGCTATTTCCGACATGACAATCAACACAATCACATGAAGAGATATCTTTCTCGGGAAAAATGAACTGACGATGAGACTTGTTATTCTGCAATCTACACTTTCTGAATTTGCTTTGGTTTTGTTCTATAACCGTAGAACTAACATGTACACTTTCCTAGTTACTGTACTGAGTAATCATAGTTAAAATAACTGAAGATTTTTTATATATTTTTAATAATTTTGGCGTTCCTTGGCCCTTGCTAATCACTGTTTCCCCCGTGCTTGAAATCAAATCTTAGCCCGTACTTCGTGTAGCGCGAACACTGCTATTAAAGTACGGGACAATGTATAATTACAACATGATTCGTGATTCCATGGTTTTAATGCGAGAGTTGTTATGTAATTTTTAAAATATTAACATTGAGACACTTAGCAATGTGTCGTGAAAATACAATATAGAGATTTTTGATCATGAAAAAAAAATTGAATGGGCTCGACCGGTATTATAGAATAATTCTGCGTGTTTTGGAAAGTTGGGAGTGTTATAATATACGTGTCGGAGTTTATATTGTACATGTTTTCTTGTCACTTTCCTATTAACTACTTATAAGTTTCACATTTAGCGTGTATACGACCTTTGCCGAATAAACGAAAATTAATATTTGATTCACTTTCACGCAGTAAAAAATTCGTTATTTAGACCTGCATGAAGGCCCCTTCTTTTGGGAATGCAGAACAAACTATTTCCTTTGCAGTCCAATTAACCATCGAATTATCACTGGAAACGTTTATGCATTAAAGTTAAACTAAAAAAGTGTAGAAAAGAGAAATAATGTTTTGTGAAAGCATGTAGCAGATGGAAGAAGTCAAAAGTCACCATTGTGAGTGTCGAAATGTATAGAATTGCAAGTGGCGACACTAAATATAAATAATTAAAATTGTGAAAAATATAAATGATTGGGCTCTATCGACATTATAAAATAATATAAACAGTTCAGATCCTATGTTGTCATAATATCACGAAAAAAAAAATATCACAAATAAACATCCTGCCAGTAATCTCAAAAGTAGGTTGTTTATCGAATACTGTGAAGAAAACCGTATTGACAATACATTAACTTATGCGCAGAACAAATTTACTTGGCTTAGAAATACTCAGCAGTCAATTATTGGTTATTTATTGTCTCACAAAGAAAGAAAGAAAGAAAGAAAGTAAAAGTGATGCGGTTTCATGTTGCTGATGACATAGACTTGAAAATGTTGCTGCTATTCACGAGAAAACCTAACTGAGCGATACTTGCCAATCATCTTGAATTTCTTTCGCCAATATTCCACCAGCAGCAACTGAAGAAGGAACTATTTTCTTGTGATTGCTAGGGAGTCCTTAATTAGCGTTCTGTGTTCTACCGTTCTACCGTTCTGCATTCTACTTCTGATGATTTCTTCTGTAATAGACCATTTTCCGTTCACTCTGGGATTCGACAAACGCGAAATATTTTTGGGGATATTTCCATGCTTAATAATGTGATGTACACATTTGATGGTCATATTTCGATTAAGTAAGGGTATTCAAACGCAATATTCCTCTGTCAAAGATCGGCCTTTCAATGTGAGCTACGCCATAAAGAAATTCGAGTTCATAATCAAATCGTTTGATTTTTTGCGGCAGTCGTTCGGCGCGCGTCTTTCACGCAACTCGTGAGATCTCGAAGTTGTACGGAAAATCACCTATTGCGGGGGAACACTTATTTAGACATTACTATCAGATTTCTCGTGATTTCATTCAAATAAACACATGGTTGTTTCTTCTAAGATATTTTCGATGTTTATAAACATTGTCGGTAATTTTATTGCGTTTCGTCTGATTGGAGCGAAATAAAAGTTTAATGCGCGGTAGTCGTCGTGCTGCGCATGTTTGACATTTGTCTTGATAAACATTGATTTTCCCACAATCCAATGCGCTCTTCAATTGGAAATCACAAGTATGAGGTTTGACCTAGGCGCGATTTGCACTTATTACCGCCGGTGACTCCTTCGATACCTTCCAATCACATGAAAATTACCTAATCAGAGCTTGGAAACGTGTCAGTTCGTACTCGTTGATCTGCGCAACAGTCAAAGTCGCCATTTTTGTTTATATGAGACCCATATATCTCGCACATGCGCAGCGCGACGACTACCGCACTTTAATAACACGTTTAAGTTAAAATTATAGCGGCACAACAAAGATAATTCGTGTCAGTGTTTACATTAACAACATGTCTGACATTTTGTAGCAATTGCCGGGTTTCAAAATAAGATCCGTAATTAGCACGAGAAAGCATTTGTACATGGTAAAGGTCTTTTCGACCCCCAACTACGTTCCTTTGCGGTGATTTTGATGATTACCAGGGAGACTTACTACTTGATTAAAGACATTACAACATTATTTTAACATCACAACAGTCGCTATACTATATACATAATAAACACGATAATGACGTGACTCATTGATCATCGCTATAAGATTCTCATCGCATTTAATCCCTGGATACCAAAAATAGAAATTAGAGCCGGGGAATTTAGATGAAAAATCGATAAAAATAAGTGGAAAGCCTGAAAAGCGAGCAAAGATGCAAAAATAACATGACAAAGCCCCCAAAGTAGTTACGTGCAATGTTGGTAAATATACATGGAAAATCAGTATGGCTGTGTAGAAAATCTGTAACATTATGTGCCGAGATAAGTACAAATAAAGAGTACGAATGAAACAAACTTTGTAAATTTACTTAATTTACTTACATAGTCTGCAACGTTGTGTGCAGCGTTGGTAAAGTTACATGGAAAATCTGCAGAGTTCTGAGAAAAGTTGGCAAACTTACGTAGAAGTCTGCCAAATAATGCGCAAAGTTGGTAAATAGAGGTGGAAAACCAGCAAAGCCGCGGGCAAAGTTGGCGGAGTTACGTGGAATGCCTGCAATGTAGCAGATAAAGTTGGTGGTAGTGTTATGTGGAAAAGTTGGTAAAGTTTCGTGTGAAGTCCGTAATGTTGTGTATTTTTCTCAAACATTTAGCTGCAGGGTAGATATAGCAACAACATTAACGATCTACCAATTTTTCAATCGCTTTTCACAACTGTGTACGTTATTTCTTTAAATTATACACTGAGTTCGTACGACAGTCTGGTAACACATATAGAGCTTTCACTCGACTTTTGAATAATTATTGTAACGTTTTACTGCAGGGTTCAGTAGAAAAACCACTGGTCAATTTGGCAAACAAATTTATCAACTTTCTAATCACTTTTCACAACTTTGCATGATCCTTTCAACTTCACCATTGCCGTCTAAAATGAATAACATGTTATTAAAATTACGCTGAAAATTACAAATTGTTTTGAACATTAAAGGCAATGTTTACGATATTCTACAATAACTTTCGTCATCACACCAACAAATAAAACACATTTAATTGAAATATGTATTTTCGAATTGTGTAACATAATTAAAAAATAGTGTCACTAAGTAATTTGCTCAGGAGGTGGTCTGCCATGCTAGTACTTGCAACTCCGGATGAAGCTTAACATTTCAAACTGATCGATCATATAATCACTGGGCTATAGGGCTCTGTTTTTTTCCTAATTTTTTTTTTGCTATTTAATTTTTGGAAATTTTTCAATGCACTTGTATTATACTTCACAGTGACCTATAATCTTCACATTGCTCTGAAGAGAATTCGACAATTTGATAATCTATAAGAGGTTTGTCATCGCGTTTTCTAACTTCATACGACAGGTTTTGAAAAGCCAACTACTTTAGGTCAAATGTTCAAACAAATCGTACAACTTTGTAATTGCTTCACTCATCTTTGTACGGGGTTCCTCAGTATTATACATTCTGATGGCCGATTATTTTTATATTTGAGGTTTGCTTATATTCGTGGTTTGGGTATTTTTCTCTGTCAGCATCCTTTATTCTATGTTTTTATATTACCGCAAATTTTGCAAATAGAAGTATGCATGGAATCATGGGAAGAAACGGTGTGCATTACCGTGTGATAACTGTCATAAAGGTCACGTGATTGACAGGTAATACTTGTTTAGAAATCTGAAAGAACAATTCGAATCTACCAGGTGTGCTTGTGATTTACATAACAAGGGATGTTTATGATCTACTGACTTGCCTACGTGAGTGTCTGCATGTTTTCAATTGTGTGTTACAGGCTTCCATCATCATTGTGGGAGACTTGTATGAACTGCTCTGCAATCTCCTGCTGTCAACATTGCCCTCCAGAATAACAGCGTTCCTCTACAAGCAAGACCTCTGTATCTCTTGTTCTTGCAATAAGCCGTGGAATGTTATCACTTTCCACATCCTGGAACTGAGTTACTACCGATATATACTTCTCTAGACAATCCCCTATTTTAGTGAATTTATTCATTGTATTATTCTGTGTTTTGTTTTTTATCATTATGTTGAGAAGTATTAAAGCCTGGAGCTTTAACTTGATATTTTGGTGTTAGTTTTCGATCATTTCCAGTACTGTTGTTTTGTCTACTCCATTCTAGCAGTGAAAGAACACCCTGTCTAGTGTGAATTCTGTGGGTGCCTCTCAATATCAATAAGCAGGCCTTGCACTGTGACATTTTGACAAAACTGACTGTTTCGTAACTGCTTAAGATCTAGAGAACATGGTGCTGTAAGACCAGCTTCTATTGCTAGGTAGACATTAAATTATCTTGATTGTTTTATTTAATACTACTGGAACTTGAATTACACTTTTTCAGCATGAATATTGTCAATGAACTTAAAGAGATTGAGGTATGATTGGGGAAAAGAGCGTGACGGATGAGAGAGCAGCCAAACGCGGGACTTAAAAGCTGATAAATGAATGAGAATATGAAGAAAGGGAGAAAGAGCAAGTAAGGCAGCAGGAACGTTAAGTGGTGAGGTTGCGTGCGGAAGCTAATGGTTAGCATAAAGGCGTAGAACAGTTGGCCCAGTCTATTGTTAGTTCTAAGGGTCCAAAGCTACCATTGTTTGATGAAACTAGGGACGAGATGGACGCATTTATTTTAAGGTTTGAGCGATTTGCTGTAAATCAGAAATGTCTGCGTGTCAATTTTAGTGCATTATTGACAGCCAAAGCTTTGTATGTATTTTTGGCATTGTCTGCAGCAGAGTCCATAGATTACAATGTTGTAAATTGCTTTGTTGGAGCGTTATGATATGAATAAAAAGGGTTATAGAAAAATATTTCGAACTAGTAGAAGACAAGATGGAGAGAGCAATTTGCAGCTAGATTAAGTTATTTTGATTAACAGGTAGAGCTGTCTGAAGTTGATAAGAGTTTGGAAGGAGCTAAGAACTTAGTGAGGAGAGATCAATTGTTGAGTACTTTTGATAACGAGCTGTCCATTTTCATAAGTGAAAGGTCACCCAAGTCAGTTAAAGAAATGACTGACTTAGCTGATAGGTTTAGAGATGCACATAGACAGACATATGGTAAAAATCTGAAATCTAGCCAGTTTCAAGCAGGTAGTCAAAAAGGTCAGTTCTCGAGCACAGGTCATAAAGGTAAAGAACATGGTCGACTCGGCCAGTCTAGTCCCAAGCCTCGGGTTAAGTCAGCTGCTATGTTGGCATGTGATCTGAACAGCAATAATGATTAACAGGACGTCAGTGCTACTTGTTTAGTTAATGAAATCACAGATGCAAATATGCATCCGTGTTTATAGGCACGAAATACAGTGGAGTTGAAATGTGGACATGAGCTGTGTTGCACCAGCTAATGGTATAGAGCGTGGTATGCTAGACTATATTTAGATATACTCTTTTATGTTGGTGAGGTCAAGGCACTGTGTACGAGTACCCCAGTGTATGATCATATTCATGATAATATATAAAACAGCCTAAAAGACATGAAAAGCATTTGATGTCACACATTTATAGTAGAAAGTCGTTAGAAAGTTAATAGAATGTTTTAAAATTTGCTTGTATTTTCAATGCACAACTACCCTTTGCGGTCGGCTATAATGGATGTAAGCTATTAAAACGGAGTGCAAAGCTGTGAAAAGTGAGTGCAAATTTGTTAAATTTGCGTGTATGTTTGAACTAAGTTGTTGTCATATCTAACCGTGAAATTATAAAATAGGAAATGTGAATAAAATGCAAGTGAAAGTCCCGTATATTAGCCTAGTGTCTTATGAGCTGACCGTAACATGTTCTAAAACAGCCTAAAAAGATAGGAAAAGCATTAGAAAAGTAGGTGGATTTGCTAATGTTTTTTTACCGAAGTAATATCGACCCCGCAGTTAAAAATAAAGAAAAAATGAGCAAAAGTGTTGAAAAACAGTACAACGACGGTATTTCAAACATAGAATTAAATTAAATTAATTAAAGCAAGAATTATCTCCACCGGAAGTGGCTCAGTACGGAATCAGCATTATTGTTGTTAACGGTTCGAGTCAGATCCATTCCCGAACTGACGTTTAATAACTACACATGGAAACGCAAATAGCTGCCGTTGATGGCGCTACACCAATCGTTTTCAAAGTCGTTTTAGGTTGAAAATGATATTCTACTCGTAAAACTTGTTAGCTTCGCGGATAGTGGCTTTTGTAGTGAGTGACTTTTGCAGTGCGTAGCGAGTATGCTTTGTCACAGTAACTGGTTCTTTCATCAGAGTTGAGAATTAATGTGTAATTTGTGTCATTAACAACTGTTGTTAATCTGAGAATATCATAGTAAGTAATGTTAAATTTCTCCTTATAATTTGTGTATTTGCCTTTGTAGGAGTTCCTAAACAAACCCCATGTTGTAATAGTGCCCTAAGTTTCTTACTTATAGAATGGGCTTTCTTGTTACACTGCTTAGTGACATATTAGTAATCTCATTGTTGTTGCAGAAGGAGAGTTTAATATTTAATCAATCCTCAGAACAATATTGATAAGAAATTATATAATTCATTCTCAGAAATGAAATAAAGAAATGTATATGTATATATTTTAATTATTACTAATGTATTGCAATATTACAAATTGAAAGAAGTTGCAATATAAATATTCCAGCAGTGTTGTGAATATTGCGAATACATGACATATATTAGAAATAAAAATGTGAATTAATTAATGCCCAAATCCCAATATTTGGATTTACAGTTCACAACTGACAGTTTAGCAATATAAGGGGTTGTCAGCTTGCATATGAATCCTCGGCAACGTAATCAAAAAATAATACATTACTTTCAAGTGTAATTATGTGATAAATCTGTTTATTTCGAATACTCTTTTGTAAGAAACAATGTTCCAGTAGTGGGTAATTATGTGATAAATCTGTTTATTTCGAATACTCTTTTGTAAGAAACAATGTTCCAGTAGTGGGTAATTGTGTGATAAATCTGTTTATTTCAACACTCTTTTGTAAGAAACAATGTTTTAGTGGTGGGTGTTGGTAAATGTAAAATAACGCTTACAAATGTCTACATCTCATAATACATGAAAGTTCCATATACGTTTGAACCAGTGACGTCACTGATTAACAATCTACAAAATATCCAGGCTTGGTGATTTATGGTAAATTTGACTATTTCTTGCCGTTTCAGATTTCAATTAACATGCGTTTCAGTCATCTAAAGTTTCACTCATTTCTTAATTTCTCAACCACAGAATCTCACAGAATATATGAACGACCCTGATTGAGGTCAAACATGAACTCATGAAACGTCATATTATAATACACTAATTTTTGAGTTGAAAACTGGAAAATTTAGGAACATCAAAACCGAGAATTTCATAGTCCAACTTGTAATACTCGATAATCCGATTAAACACATACTTGGGCAAAGTTTTAACAGTGTCCTTGTACTTG